ATTAGTGAATACCAATATCTAAGGACTACAGTTGTTTAGAATAGCTACAACGATGAGCTCTAGTTATTATTGTAATGTTAGTCTGACTCTATAACATTTTATTCAGTATTTTTTCTATTCAACTTTTTTTTTGATAAAAAGTCGACATGAAATAAATATTTTTCATTTGAATCACTTTATCACTTAATATTAATGAATTAAGTGGTTAAGTGAAATAACTTAGTTTTAAAATTAAGTGATTAAATGATTTTCAGAAACTTAATTTTAAATTTAAATGTTAAGTGAATCACTTAATTTTAATATTAAGTGTTAAGTGAAAAACTTAATCAAGTTCATTAATTAAGTCTCGTTAAAAAAAATGTCGCACCTCTAGGCCAAACTTTATATAAAATTATTATTTCCTCGAAATATTCATCTTCCTTAGAGAAATTCCAGTAATGAATTTCCTGTTACCACTTACTTGGTAACTGCTATTGTAACGATCATCTCCTTCACCTAACTTTAGCTCTGGACCGCATATCTAATGAACAACATTTAATTCAAATACCTATGATGACGTCTTTTCTGTATTTTCGAGAGATTTATTAATTCAAATAATCAGATAAAGAAGATTGAATATTTTGTAACAATGAATCGATGGAAAAAATTTCTGATGACTGAGGAATTGTTAACGTTCTCAAGTCTGGAAAACCAGATTGTCATCACCTGCAACATATTAATTGCATTTGGAAAACACTCAAATAATAGCACAAGTACATGAGCTAATAAAATAGGAAGAGAACTTCATAACATCTGAAAATATGTACTACTTGTCCACTCAGAAGTCTCTGCTGGCATTAGATTAAAATTACTTCTGGTTCTTAAAAAGTGAGTGCTTCGCCAAAAATGTTTTACGCTCAGAAATGAATGTATGAAAGTGTTTCATCTCAATATAGGATAAACTACAAGGGAGAAAAAGCGTACTTCTGTGCTGAGAAGCTTCAAAATGGCCTCTTTTCCATGCATAAAATACTCTAATTCGTTAAGACATTAATAAAAAAGATGCATCGTATGAAATAAGTTTCTATCCAATATATATCAACATACCCTTTAAAAGAATAGGCGTTATAGGGAATCATTAAGGGTTTTAGCAAAGATTGTGAACTTTTTAAGGTATTATTCGTTTATTAATAAACCATCAAAAGGTTCTAGATAATTTAAAGAACCATGCCAAATAAAAAATGGTTCCAGAGGTTTGGAAGAATTTTATTTTGTGCCATTATTTTTATGCTCCACTTCTTTTACACAGATGGCTCTAGCGCAAGCCGTCTGAACTGCACTGAAAATAATAGATACCAAACGAATCCTCTGGGTTTCGCCGAACTTTACTTCACCTTTGCAGTATTGTCCAAATCCGGGAAACCACATTAAAAGTTACGTAATCTTATAGGTTTCGTATGAAAACTCTTCCAGATTTCGAAATAGAAAAAGCTTCCTAGTGAACCTCTTCAAAATACTGGAGTTAGAAGGTTTCGTACTAAACTATTTTCTTTCCGACTGCCCATAACAGAGATGGCTGTTCACTAACCAAAAACACGACCAATCTGAATCATTTCTATTTTCATCGTTGTACATTTTACCGCGCAATCGCGTTGGCATACTTCATTAGTGCATTTACACTTTATATTTTTTTCATGCACAGCTACATTTGAGCGCACTATGAAAACCATCGATTATCTCGTCATCAAAATTTTTTTCTCTAAAACTTTGAGATATCAGCATTTTCCAGTAGAATCAGAGGTTCTGCCCGCCGATAGCTATGTCTGTATGAATTTCATGAATCACTACAATCATGGCTTCACGACAGCTTTTGGGGCGTTGATTGTTTGAGCACATTAACCTAAAAACTTGCTAAATTTTTTCCTATGATAGAATGTTTCTTTACCAGGCAGATTTAAACTATCAAAACATCACCCTTTTCACCTCACTTGGCGTTCATCACGCTCAAATTACTTTAATATAAGAGTTTAGATATACATATACGAGTTAAATATAGAAATATGCACTAGAGAAAGAAAGAAAAAACAGTACGATATAGAACTAAGGAGTTAAGAATAGAAATGAGGCGTTAGATATAGAATTAATCAGCTGTACTAGACTAAGCATGTTGAATGAACTGCTTTTAAGCAGGTTAGAAACATTCTTGAAAGAAGAATAACAGGTTCGAGATCGAACTAGACTGTGCTCGAACCTTAAAAGGTTCTTAAAATGGTACCCAAATCTAGAACCTTTTAAGGTTCAGTATGACAGTTTTTTTTACAGAGAAAGAGCTTTACACAAGTTGTTGTGCGAATATGCTAGGGTCTCTACCTTCACGAATGTTATAATGCCCTAAAACCGCTGCATGGCCTTTTAAAACAGGAAAAATTAATAAAAAACTCGATTGTCTAATGGAACATTAGACGCAGCGCCAGCTACTCTACAAGATCATATAGGTAGCATTTGAGTTCAGGAGAGATCGATAAATTCGACAGAGTCCTTCATGGGAACAAGAAAACTGATATTGCAAAATATTGAAAGTTTGAGCTACTAAATAAGCTGTCCTTAACAAAGTTTTAGTTATAAGTACTCATGGCACAGATCGAATTGACCTCTGTCAAGGATCGTACTAGCTACGGTTCCATTTCGAAGATGAATGAATTCAATACGAAGGACAACACCCGATTATTCGGTCGGTTATTTTCAAGATGGCGTTATAGCAAAATGCCTGAAGAGAAGGATTGCAATAAGTCGACAACATCCTTTTTCACATTGGTAAGTAAATCTGTTGGAAACACCTATTGCTAAAAAGTGATACATACTAGTGTAATAACGAATACTGCCTAATATCAGACATTGTCATCGATAACTAAATCCATTCCTTAATTTAAACACTTTGAAGAGAAATTCATTACATCTTTCACATGCATATTGCATCTTAAAGGAGTACGATCGATTTTAGTCAGAAAATCGATAATTGATATATTCATATTACATAAATGATAATTAAAAGCATACTTGAGAAGGAGTCCATGAGACTATCAGACATCGCCGTACTCTCAAAATGTCGACCTATACTTTTTATTATCAGAAACGAAAGCACATGGTCAAACACCACGAAATCCAAAATTGTAGCTCTTTACGTTTATCTCGTCAAAAGTTATAGGAGTCATATAAATTACGGCTCACTCGGGAGTATAAATATCATATTTTTTTCTATAAAGGAAGAATATTGTGAGATTTTCTACATAATTATTGCTCGGATGAAAAATTCAAATATGATATTGAACGGAGTGAAGTTTACTCTACGAAATTACATACTTAGTTCTATCTCGAACTATCTACTATAAATTACCATGGTCGAATAATGAAAAAAGCTGCTCATACTTTTTACCATTTTTTCGGGTACTTTATTAATTGTTCTTCGGTACTTTATGTTAATATTGTATAGGAACAAATAGCCAAGTACGGTTTCTAACAGAAGGAAAGAGACACCATAAAATAAGCATACAATGTTGTTAATTCGAGCACTAACACATCATTTTGCTCAAGCAACAAATTTATCCAAAAATTACTCTCAGATAAGGTTTTTCGAGCTCTTCCTCTCTTTTTCTCTCCAGTTTCTTGTCTGGATTATTTCAAGCTTAAAATTCAACACTATACATGCTTTCTACATAAAAAAAATTACGTCAGATGTGCCACAGAAAAATTTTTCTCAAGATATTATATCGCTTGATTGGTGATCTTATTGCAGATGTTCTATCGTTTTGAAAATGACAATCACAAGCTCCATGAAGCTGTATATTCATATAGTTCATTTTAAAACTTCATAGAGATTCTTAAGCACTACAAAACTTTACTATCTTGGGCATCTGATGGATTGATTTCAAGGGCCAAAAATGATCATTTCTCATATGAGACGTTTACAATAAGTTTGTTCCCATAGAATCGATTCGTCACAATGTAACTCCAGGAAATGTGAAATACGTATGCGACAATATTGAATATAAAAGTCCGCATGTTTAATTGAGACGTGCTTTTCACAATGTTAGTGTATGTATCTGGGAGAACAGTTTTTGAAGTAAAAATCTGAAAACAGCAAACAAGCCTTTCTTTTTGAGCAGATCTATCTCAGTGTTCTCTTTTAATTCAAAACAGTTTTAATGTATTAACGCTTCAAGCCAACATTTCCCCCATTTTGTTCAGAATCAAACACTACATTTTACAGCAGAAAAATCATTGCTTTGTATGACAAGTTTGGTTTAACACTTCTTTTGAACAAGCACACGAAATATCTTGCACAGATCATTGAAGTATAAACAACA